ATGGATTCCTGGGACCTCCTACTCTTGCTGTCTTCCCTCTGGTCTACCTGTGTTTTTAAAGTTAGTTTTTAATCACACAGCAGAAGGGATTCTTTGAAATGCAAATCGGATCATTACTTCTTTCCTGAAAACCCTACTTTGGATTCTCATTTTACTTGAAGTTAAAGCCCAAGTCTTTACAAGGCCCATATAATTTGTTCTAGTCACACTGGCTTTATGATTTCTCAAATATTTCAAATACTGCCCCCAGGATCCTGGATTCAGGATCTTTGCACTTATTCTACCTGCCAGGAACACTCTACTCTCAAATATCTGTATTTGATTTCTTCTCACTATTTTTAGATCTCTTCTGATGTTACTTCTCCAATCAGGTCTTCCCTGACCTCCACCACAAGCACTCCTAGTTTACCTCGTTTTTCTCCACAGCATTTGATACTGTCTAACATACTATAGGCTTATTGGCTAATAGTTCGTCTCTGCTGGATAATATAATTCCAAGAATGCAAGGATTTTTTCTTTCTGTTGTGTTTGTTGTTGTGTGTGACTGGACGCATACATTCCCATAGCTGTTGAATGAGCGAATGAGGAAGGTTGTAGGAGAACCCCCAAGACTAAAGGGGATGTGTTAATTTCAGGATCAAGGTAATCCGTACTATGGAGAATGGTTTCTAAAGCAGAAGTCACCCAGGTTCAACATCTAGCAATTTAATTTCATCCTAACAGCCCACACACAGAACACCAAGTGGGTTGGGTGCAAACAACAATGGGCGTATGTATTCCAGGCTAATTACACAAACTAATTGTTGTTTCCTGATAGGGGCTGATTTGTGCTCTGGGTTTCTTGAAACTGCTTGAAAAGGTAAATTGCCACCCCAACCAGCGTGGGCAACTGAATTAAGGTCTCTTGTGTGAATTTGTAGTGATGCAAAATAAAACACAGACACGATTTACCTTTACCTAAGCTTCAGGACAGCTTCCCCCGGCTCAAGGCCTCAGGTTCCCCAAAAGGAAGAGCAAGAAAAACGTCAGAGAGGCTGATGAGCACATTTGGAAGTCAGTTTTTATTGGGGGACACTGTTCTTAGAAAGTTCTATCCATAAATGGGCAGAAGGGGTAGGATTACAAGGGAGCAGGTGAGTGTTACTCAACT